ACATTGAGCATTTTTATTTTTCAAGCAGAATAAAGGGACTTATGTAGATTCCAACAGCATTCTCAGAAGTAAAGATTATTCTAGGAGTCTGGTTGCTTTGCTTTGCATTTTACATGTTGTTTAATATTGAAGTAATATTTCTTTTTTAAAATAATAGAATGAGCGGGAGGCCTGGTGGATTCCAAAGGAGGGTTTTTGTGGGTCCCATATTGGCAACACTAGATGTAAAGGGTAGGATCAGCTTTGTTCAGCCCTGCCTTCCCACTCAGTTTAGCCAGAATGTGTGAAAAGGGTTACAGATTCAGCCTCAATCTATAGCAACAGTAAGAAAAAGTGGAGTAACATACATGGAAGACCAGTGAACTCATAACAGCTTCAGTGGATTGAAACTGTTCATATTATGATTGACAAAGATCCTACATTCATCACTGGCACCGGCAGTTAAAAGATCAGGTAGCAAATCGTTTAAAAGGCCTCTACTTGAGATTCTACCAATCAAAATAGAATATACTTTAGTTAGGCAAAGAAATAGATTGATGGGCTGACATATAATGCAGCTTCCTCTGTTGCCAGCCACAGTTTGAATACCCCAGTTGGAGTGATTTAAAGCAGCCACTTCAATGTTGTGGCTGATAAGGGGTTCAACTGATTGTCTTTTTTTTTTTTTTAACCTGTTTCCTGGGACTGTGAAATGTGGGTTCTTGAGTTGCCAGCCAGCTTAACACAATGCCCGCCTGGTAGATCGGAGTCCATGCAGACATGCCCAGGAAGGATAAATATAGAGTGATTGTATTGTAGCAGGAATTCCCTAGTTGTATTGATATCCCCACTAGAAAAAGATGTACTGTATATGCTTGCAGATAAGCTGAGAATTTTAGGTGCCAAAATACACACCCCAAACTGTGTTTGGCTTATCCATAGATGGGCTTAACTGCGAGTATATACAGTAATACTTGTTTAAAGTACCTGTATATGTCATATATTCTCATGGATAAGCCCATCCATGGATAAGCCAATTGTGAGAATTAAAACATATGAACATTTCAAGGGTTGGCTTATCCACAGATGGGCTTATCCATGAGTGTATACCGTATTTAAAATATAGCTATTCCCAGAGTTGCATTGATAAGAGAGCCAGTTTAGTGTAGTGGTTAAGGCATCAGGCAAGAAACCAGGAGACTGTGAGTTTTAGTCCTGCCTTAGGCACGAAGCCAGCTGAGCCTTGGCCAGTCACTCTTTCTCAGCCCTAGAAAGCAGGCAATGGCAAACCATTTCCAAAAAAATCTTGCCAAGAAAATTTCAGGGACTAGTCAAGGCAGTTGCCAGGAGTAAAAATAAAAATAAAAAAACCTGACTCAAAGGCACATACACATCTCCCTTACTTTCTAAACATTCTGCTTAATGCTCCACCAATTGTTTTGGAAGGGAGGTATATGAACCTTCCCTTCCAAAATTGTATCTGCCCCATCAGACATTTTGTTGAACTGTTCATTTACTCTCCCAGTTAATCACTCTAGCTGTTCTTTGGAAGAGAATGTGTTCTTCTTAACAAATAAACTTTAGAAATCTCAGAAAGGATCACAAAATAAGTTCTGTCACAGGAACAACATATAAAGAATCTCTGTGTATAAATAAGATTTGATAGATTATTTTTCACATTAGAAGGCAATTAGTTGTATATGTTACCCTTTAATATTTTAGTTTTATTCATATGATTGGTCTGATATATTGTCTATATATATTGCAATTTTTATCTATGACCATAAATAAAATTAGGATACCAGTGTTCCCAAAACATGAAAAACTGAGAACTTAATTTGACATACTCACAAAAATGAGAACTTGAAAATTCCACATTTGCCCATTCCTAATAACAGGGTTAAGCAGCCCTTTTCAGTAATTCTCACTTTCTTTTACCCCATGAATACCACTATCCATGGAGCCAGTTTCTTTTCTAATCTAGTAGGTAGTTCTAGGACAGGAAGGCCTGGCGCAATATCGTTCATGGGGTCACGAAGAGTCGGACACGACTTAACGACTAAACAACAACAAGGTAGTTCTACTAGATTAGAACTACCTACTAGATTAGAAC